ACAATGGGTACAATGATGATGATGAATAATCACAATTACAACATAAGGCAAGGATTCAGTGGAATCATAACATGTAACCATTGGAAGAATGACTTTACTAGGCAAGCTATTCCATTGTTGGGTTATTTGGTCTGATATCCAGCTGAAATCTCTGTGGCTTATACCCATTGCTTCTTGATCTGCCTTCTGGAGCAGGTCTAAACAATCCTGCCCTGGCTTCTATATAAGACCCCTTCATATCTTTGAAGATAAATATCATCTTGCTTCTCGCATCCAGTGCCTCCGTATCCCCTAGCCTTTTTCTTCATGATCATCTTGATTGCTGTCTTCCTTAAATGTGGCCTTCAGAACTGGGCACATTGATTAATGAAGAAGAGAAAGGAAGGGCCTTTGTTCCTTTTTGACTTGCCAAATTATATTTGCCCACCACCTTGTAAATTTATCTGCCGTTGGACAAAAACATCATTGGATGTTACATTTTTATTACAAGGGCCAGGGTAAAAAAGAATAAGGAGCCAAAGGAAATTATTGGGTTTTGACATGAACTTCCCTTGATGCAGCCTTGAACTATATTTGCATAACTATTCTATGTAATCAAGGGCCACTTTCATTTCCCAGCCACGGTGTTCAAATAATTTGCTGTATTAATTGCAGACTACGTAGTGACCTCCAAAGAGTTTTAAGCATCAGGATTTCACACATACTCACCTATAGGCAAGATGTCTATTTTGCCACAATTCATACCAAATCTAAAGGAGTGTTAGTGTCTGTCTGTTTTTCTTTTGTCTTTAAAATTAGAACTGTGGGAAAGCTTTAACTACACTTTAATATCTAACAGACCAGGAGTGGGAGATCTGTAGTCTCTCCAGATGTTGCTGATCTACAATTTCCAGCATCACAGCCAGACCGGTCAAAACAAAAATGTTGAGGCCTGTGTTTTACTGACCTCACGAGGGCTCTTGCATGGTTCTCTGTCCTTGTGAAAAGATCAGCCCTGCTTTGTCAGGAATCTGATAGCAATTTCTAAGTCTGAAGAACTCATCCAGGCAGTGGGCAGCCAAGTATTTATATGCCTTGTATTTTGTAAAAATATATGAATTAACAGTACAGGTAGTCCTCAACTTACAATTAATTTAGTGAATGTTCAAAGTTACAAGGGCATTGAAAAAAGTGACTTATGACCATTTTTCACACTTATGACCTTTGCAACATTCCCATGGTCATGTGATCAAAATTCAGACGGTTGACAACAGACTTATATTTATGACAGAGTAGAGTAGAGTAGAGTAGAGTAGAGTAGAGTAGAGTAGAGTAGAGTAGA